ACGTTAATAGATTCTTGTATATCGAACGATTCGGTAAAAACTCGAACCGAACGATAGAGCAAGTAGCAAGGGACTTGGATTTCCTTTTTATTTATCTATTACGGTATTCGGTTCAGTTCAATTTTTTACCGAACAGTTCGGATCAGTTTTTTATCGAACCGTTCGGTATACAAGAATCCAATACCGTTCGGTTGTTCGGTATATTACCGAACCAAACTAGTTCTGTTCGGTTCGGTACGGTTCAATTCAAGAAAACTAAACCGAGTTGCCCACCCCTAAAGTTAATTACCAAAATAGTCCCTTGACTATAGCAAAATTACCAATTTGGTCCCAAGTTAACGGTTGACTAACGGTCAAACAAACAGAGGACCAAATTGGTTAAAGTTTTTAAAGTTGAGGGACTTAATTGGTTAAAAAAAATAGTCAAGGACCAAATTGGTAATTTCACTATAGTCAAGGGACCATTTTGGTAATTAACTCAATTTTTAATTTATCACTCTAACATAATTTAGTGAGTAAAAAAAATAATATTTATAAGTTATCAAATAATATTAAGTCTTATATAAAGTTTTAATAGTACAAGACTACAAGTTTAAATCTATTTAACGTCATTTATAAATTTTAATTTAGTAGAAAATCATATTAATTTTAGATTTTGAGACTAATAATTAAAATTTTATTTTTAACAAAAACATTAATGTGTATGTGCATGTATATTAACATTATTTAGCCAGTATTTTGACTGGCCAAATCTCGGGCCAAAAAACAATATGATCCAAATCTACTTTGTCCGAATTATTGTTATTTGCATATTGAAAAAGTTGTTTTGAGTAACTTTTTTAATTTTAGCATATTGGAGTTACAAAAAGCTATTAACCAAACACTTATATTAATTTTTTAACCAAACCAAAGAACTAATAGTGGTTAAATAAGTCAAAATTGACATATAGGCTAACTATTTTATCAAACAGTGCATATATATACTTTGTTCACAATTACTAAATAAAACAAACACTTACAAAAGTGTAACTTTTTCAAAAACAGAAGAAAAAAAAAACAAAAAAAAAAAACAACAACAAAAAGATAAATATTTCGCCTCAATATCATTAATAAAATACATACAAAAATATATATATATATATATAAATTGAATTAATATTCAATATATAACTTACAAAATCATAGTACCCATCGTGATGTACAATTTTTCTTGCCAACATGAGGGCAAGGAATGTCAATGGAAACACTCATATCTTCCAAATCAAAAACATAAATGCTTCTATCATTTTCTTCAATGAAGTATATGCAGTTAGTTTTCACATTTGCATTTTTGCTATTAATGCAAAATATGCCTCCAACATATCCTAAGAATATGGTACGCTCTCCTATAGTCTCCATCTCCATCCATTTTCTTGTGCACAAATCCGCTCTAAAGACTCGTATGTCTTCTACCTGACAACGCCTTTTTGCAAAGTAAATTTTTAAAACTAATAAAATTTCACCACAACTTTCTGTAATGTAACCATCTGTAGATAAACTGTCGCGTTCAGGTCTTCTTGAAAATGGCTCCTCAAATAAATTATCACCAATCACCTCTTGAAATTGTACACTTTGACCATCAAATTCAACACGTACTAAAGTGGTACGATTTTTCCTCAATCCATACAAATTTCCACCAAAACTTGTGAATGATTGGATTAAAGTATCATCCCTTAACATTTGCGTCACAAATGCTTGTTCACCAATCTTGCAAAAATTGATATTAGAAATACCATTGTAGGGATCATCTTTAACCAATACAACATAACAAGAAGGATCATGAGGACTAGATGAAAGATAAGCAAAATGCGTGAATGGTTCCAGTTTTGGAAGTTGCACCCTTTCGTGTGAATAGACATTATAAAGTGAGATATCGAGATTGTGGCAATCTTGTAACACCATCCATCCGTCCTTACATGCCTGCGCACTCTCATACTTGTTGTACATGAAAGAATAGTCAATATTATAATAATACTGTTGTGTGAAACTATATAGTGTAACTCGTTTATTTTGATAAAACAAGAGGTAAGGGTGCGATTGCGGTGGGGGGAAACTGGGCAGCAGCATGGTTTTGGCATCATGATCAGCAACCAACTCCATAGCTCTCAGTTATATTTTTCAAATACGTCCTGCAATATGAACTAATTAAACAAAAAGTAAACAATATAATGAATTGTCTAAAATAATTGTACGGATCACTAGTCTTGATAGGTTAATCAAACAACACATACACATGATAAAGGGCATTACAATGAAATTAATTAAACATATTTGCATTGAAGCCTGTTGAATATAATATTAGAAGCAATTTTTAATTAATTTCGATCTTATATACTTTTATAAGATTCAATAAAAATTTGCGAGTCCATATATAACTCTTTATAATAACAAAACAAAAACAAAAAAAAAAACAATAAAAAAAAAAAGGTTATACGAATAAAATTAAGGGAAAGAATATTACCAGCAAGAAAATTCGATTTAAGAAATTCAAGGTTCTGGCCTGACTTTGTGTTTTGTGTTGCATGCTGATGACAGATGACTCTACAGCTTCTTTAATAGCCTTCAAGATTACCTTTTAACTAATGGGATTAGGATTAGGATTACGATATTCAGATATATTAAGAGTATAATTTTAGTTTTCTAATCCTAAATGCATTAGTATTTGGAGTGTAGATTGAGTTTTATAATCCTTAATCAGGGCAAATTTAAAGAATATAATCTTAATCCTGCAGGGAAACAATTATCTCATCAGTTGTTATATATAGAGGAAGTACATTGAGAGATATTGCGAACTGAAGTTTACTCAAAGAGTGAAGCGCATAAATAATTAGTCCCCCTACAGGTAATGCACGTGATCAAGATGAGTAGTATCGATGACTCTGGTACACAAAGGCCATGGTCAGATCTAAACGATGAACTCTTATCACATATTATCACAGGTTTATCTATTGGAGATTATTATACTTTTCAATCTGTATGTAGATCCTGGAAGTCAATAATACCACTTCCTCTTCTATTGTTGCCAATCTCACTTGAACATGCATCCTCACGTGATATATATTCGTACTGTGACCTGCATCTGATGTACTTGAACAAAAAAACTAGTTTGTTCAATTTTTATGATCCAACTCGCAATATCAACTATTCACTTGACATTCTTCAATTGTTGGAGGATGATATTCTCGAAGTTGAACTTTATTATGAAAATCAGGGTTGGTTGCTTCTTGGTAAAGGCGCTGAATCTTATTTCTTTTTCAACCCTTCAACTAAGGTTAGAATAGACATACCGGACACACCAGGTATAGCATTTCCATTGGTTTGTTTTTCCGAATCACCAACTTCTTCCAATTGTCAAATTGTTGGTATAGCTAGTATTTTACCAGAGTTTATTACTGTAGGAATATTGAATTTTGGTGAGAATTCATGGTCGATCTACGTAGAATTAGTAAATGATAAAGACTTTATAGCTTCGACTTGCACCCCAGTTATTCGCAATGGAGAAATTTATATTCTAGGAGAATCTGGAAATCTAGGGAAGCTCTGTATTCCAAAAGGAGAGCATGGAGACAACATTAATTGGAATATCATCGGTAAGTCACACCGAAAACAATTTATGAAATTCCGAGATCGATTCTTTCTAGAGAGTGATGGAGATCTCATGTGTGTGGCAACTCTTGAGGAAGGGGAAGTTCGGGTTTTGAAGCTTGATTCTAAAATGGTTTGGCAAAAGATTGATAATTTGAAAGGAAAAGCCTTCTACGTTTCTCCCAAGATATCTTTGTCTCAAGAAGCAACTGACAGAGGAGCTAGTAACAAGATATATTTTCCAAGGTTTTATGATGGCAAAGGGGTATTTTATTGTCTTGCAACAAAGAAGTGGCGCAATTTTCCACAGAGTTTTTCAAGTAAAAACTATTATAATACAAGAGGATTAGTTAAATGTATCTGGACTAAACTTCCCCGTATTTCTAATTCATGAAACTTGTAATAATGAATGATGGATACTATAAACAAGCTAAGTTTTGATTTGGAATATAAATTTTAGTTACTTTAATATATACTAATGTACCTTCTATGCTTTCAAGTATAAATAAAGTATTGTGTTTGCTGTGTCTATTAATATCCTTTGATGTCTAAATGTTCCCATTACTTCTATGACTGTTCTCTTTATTAAGTTGTTTGTTGTTAACTATGTTCTGATTCTTCATTCTCTTCTATCTCTGCTTAGTTCCTGGTCTTGTCAATTACTCTTTTTTTTTTTTTTTTAATCTTAATTATTCTTATTTTTAATCTAGCCATTAAAAAGGGGCTTAATAATAATAATAATAATAATAATAATAGTAGTAGTAGTAGGAAGCCGTTATAATAGTTGAATGGTAAATTGAAGGATATTTCCTTAGGTCGTCATTAATATAGGCCCGAAAAAAAAAAAAAAAAAAAAAAAAAAAAAGAGTCAATTAATTCCATCAACTTTTTAATGGTACAATTACACCCATCAACAATTCATTTTGATGCAATGAAGCTCAAAAATTGATAAATATAGCCGGTCATTAGAGATCCGGTCACCCTCTGACGAAAATTTCAAGCAAAAAAGTGACAGGCAAACGGTCGCCAGTCACGGAGAAGGTGACCAAGGTCGCCTTCTCTACAGAGAAGGTGACCCCTTGGTCTCGTTCTCCTTCTCCGTGACCGACGACCATTTACTGGTCACTTTTTTGCTTGAACTTTTCGCCGAAGGGTGGCCGGATCCCAAATAACCTGTGATAGCAGGTCATTTACTGTTTTTTTTAGCTTCATTGCATCAAAATAATTGTTGATGGGTATAATTGTATCTTTAAAAAATTGAGGTGGCTAATTGACTTTTTAACTAAAGTTCGAGAGCATATTTGACCATTTAAAAATAAAAACTATAATAATAATGATGATAATAATAAATTTTTTAAAAAATAAAAACAAATTACTAAGCATCAAAACATAGAGCCAAATTGATAATTCAGCCATTATTGTTTCATAAAAAAAATACTCTGTACCAAATAATATGCTACAAATGAGGTGTTAATACAAGTACCTAAAATGCACCAACATTTACAAAATAAAATAAAACATTTATGAAGTAGCAATGCAATGCAACCTAGCTAGTGAGAAGACTTTCACCCAGCCCATTTCATAAGAGGGGCAACCAGAATCAACTATGATACAACTTACACTATTTCACCCAGCAACAGTGTCTTGTTTGTACTTTGTACCTCATCTAGGGCTCTGCTCAACTGGTGAGCCCGCGACAAACGGAACGAATCCCCGCCCGCCAAACACGGGACGCATAAACGAATCATCAAACTTACGCCAGTAGCGGTGCACGGTGTGGGTTGGCGTCCTTAGCAGCATGCGCAAGGCAGTTGGTCGAGCAACCTCAGGTCCGGTTATCATATCGCTTTCTGAGTCAGGTTGGTTGTCCAGGAGTGGCACCGTGAAGTGCTTTGGACTACTGGGTTCGGATGTTGTCATTGACGAATGACCGCTTGGTATCTGCTTGTGCGGGGGTAGCAGAAGGTTTATCAGAGGCTTCGTCATCAACCCGAATACCTAAAACCATCACCAAACACACAACCAACCAACCAACCAACCGTAAGATTTTATTTGGCGAGAATCATAGAAAAAAAGCCTCAAAAATGTGTATGTAGGTCCTTACAACTGTGCTGAACAGAACAACCGTAACAGTACTTGTAATCATTATTGCATTCTCGTGCAATGACATATGCCCCGAGGTTGTAAACTGCACCAGTGCATAATCTGGAAATGGAAAGACCACCCAACCGGCTTCTTTCTATTCTAAGTGACATTGTAACATTTTGTGCACTATTATACTTTACCGTATTATACGCAAGTGCTATTGAGACGGCGCCTCTCATTCGACCAGCCCACCAAATTATTATCTAAGAGACAGGAGTAAGAGATGTATATTACTTGTAAAAGATTATATAAAACGAGAATTTTGTAGAGAACTCCTTACTTGTTGCCTGAAGGATATCTTGTCGGAAGAGTTTTTCTTTGCTAAGTTGGATTAAAACGACAAGGGGAATACGAACGCAGCTCTGCCTACTAAGATTAGGCCTACCAATATTGAGCTCACTGCAACTGATAGTCCCTGAAAGAAAAAAAATAAATACAAGAAGATTTATGAGTTTCGTGAACCATAGTTTATTGTTTATCTTTTAGATTTGTTATAATAAACCACACAAAAAGACAGAGTTGCAAAGGAATGCCTGCAACCAAAACGGGAGTAGGATTAAACCCAATTCGCAAACGTGTGTTACAATAACGAGAACTTGCAAAGACTCGAAGAGAGGTTTGTAGAAGCATACCTAGTAGTGACCCTTGAGCTCTCGGTAACATTGTGCCATGTATAATGAGACATGACAATTCCACCTACAGAAGAATACAGTAAGTATGCCGCTTAGATAGAATAACTGCAAGACGCGAAAAATTTACTAAATTGCAACACGAGAATTTGTTTAAACAGAAAGCAAGCAGTTCATCAGCACTTCGACAACATTAGCGTCACAACTTAACTAGGATCATACCTCGGCCATTATATAAGACAAGTAAGACATGAGCATCATAAGAGCAACCTCACGATCGGTTGAGTGTCTGTCATCCATCACATATTAAATAAATGAAATTAACTAAGAGGTCAAAACGACAAGTAAAAAAAGTTGTTAGAATCAAGAAGCATGAAGATACATGTGTGTGTGTATGTAAAGAAAACGAATATACATGATACCTAAATAATCTCCAAAATCCAGAAAGTCAATGTCTAAGTGCTTGAAAATTTTGACGGCACCTAAATCATATAGATACGGCAATATGAGTTGATAATATATCAATCGCAGCATAAATTACTTTGGGACAAAGAAGGCATTGGCCGGTAATAAGAATGTCGAGGTTTTGATTAGTACCAAATGATATAATAGAACAGCTAATAAGTGTGCCAATAGCTCCAAACAACATAATTGTCATGAATTTCACGAAAAATTACTTCTTTTTCACCTGAAACCTGGTATAGAGTAATACATTTAAAAAAAAAAAAAAAAAAAAAAAAAAAAAACAATTATTTGGCAGAATTACACACTGAATCACGAGATTACCAAACAAAATTTCAAGTTAGGAATCAAATAACTACTCTAACAACCTCAATAAAGAATGGAATGCTCATATTCATAGTATTTCCTGAATTAGTTATTGATTGCGAACAAAGATACCACCCATAAAACATATGGAATTTTTTCACGTAAAATGCTTCACAAAACTATAGTTACTATAGTCTTGCTAGATTTTCACCCTTTTAAATTACCTTGCTCAAATTTTAATTGCTACCGACAAAAAAGGACAGCTTTTCTGCACAATACCATTCATGCTTTTCAATACAAATACCAATAACTTTCAGTTATAATTTTAAGCAACAGCTTAACAAATTATTATAATGATATGGAAATTCTAATGGATTCCTCAGTTTTTTATCATATCACAACAGAAATGTCAAATATTTAACTGTCTAACCATGATAAATATTCTAGGACTATATGCTGGTCGGATATGGCAAATTGATCCACACAGTGTTGTGTAGACCATAACAAAAAGTACATTTTTAATATATTAAAAGTACATTATTCGTGTACTGAATGTACATTATACAAAATAATATACTTTCAGTACTCAAATAATGTACTTTCCCTGAATCCAATGTACATTTTTAATATACTTAAAGTACATTATTTGTGTACTGAATGTACATTATTTAATAGCATGGTCCATACAGTTATGTGGACCATGGTCCACACAATAATGATTGGATTTTAATTATATGAGAGAAGACTAATTTAATGTCTAAAGAAGAAGGAATGCAGGTAATAACTGTTAATTTCCCCCACAAAAGCATTTTATACAAGGAAGATATAAATTCACAGGAATAAACAAACAATATAGAGGTCATTAAAAATCTTAAGATTTACCCAGCATTGAATATTATAGGTGGCAAGAGATATATAAAGAAAAGATCTTCGCTAAAGACGAGAAGATGTGAACTCTTTCCTCCGCTAAGGAGCAAAATTACAACTCCGGTGCACAAACCCTGACATCAATGCATAGATAAAATACAATTGTGAAGGAACATTAAGATTAAAATAATAACAATAATGATGAAAATAACAAATTATATTATAATTAAATTCTGATAAGGCTATTTATTCAGTTGACCAATTAAGTTCCTCAACTTTAAAAATCTTAACCAATTTGGTCCTCCGTTTGTTTGACTGTTAGTCAACCGTTAACTTGGGATCAAATTGGTAATTCGCTATAGTCAAGAGACCATTTTGGTAATTAACTTTAAGGGTGGGAAATTCGGTTAAGTTTTATCGAACCGAACCGTACCAAACTAGTTAGATTCAGTAATATACCGAACAACTGAACGTTAATAGATTCTTGTATATCGAACGATTCGGTAAAAACTCGAACCGAACGATAGAGCAAGTAGCAAGGGACTTGGATTTCCTTTTTATTTATCTATTACGGTATTCGGTTCAGTTCAATTTTTTACCGAACAGTTCGGATCAGTTTTTTATCGAACCGTTCGGTATACAAGAATCCAATACCGTTCGGTTGTTCGGTATATTACCGAACCAAACTAGTTCTGTTCGGTTCGGTACGGTTCAATTCAAGAAAACTAAACCGAGTTGCCCACCCCTAAAGTTAATTACCAAAATAGTCCCTTGACTATAGCAAAATTACCAATTTGGTCCCAAGTTAACGGTTGACTAACGGTCAAACAAACGGAGGACCAAATTGGTTAAAGTTTTTAAAGTTGAGGGACTTAATTGGTTAAAAAAAATAGTCAAGGACCAAATTGGTAATTTCACTATAGTCAAGGGACCATTTTGGTAATTAACTCAATTTTTAATTTATCACTCTAACATAATTTAGTGAGTAAAAAAAATAATATTTATAAGTTATCAAATAATATTAAGTCTTATATAAAGTTTTAATAGTACAAGACTACAAGTTTAAATCTATTTAACGTCATTTATAAATTTTAATTTAGTAGAAAATCATATTAATTTTAGATTTTGAGACTAATAATTAAAATTTTATTTTTAACAAAAACATTAATGTGTATGTGTATATTAACATTATTTAGCTAGTATTTTGACTGGCCAAATCTCGGGCCAAAAAACAATATGATCCAAATCTACTTTGTCCGAATTATTGTTATTTGCATATTGAAAAAGTTATTTTGAGTAACTTTTTTAATTTTAGCATATTGGAGTTGTTAGGAACCGTGTATTAGGATTTTGATGATACCAATGTAATGTAGAAAGTAGACCCCTAACTCCTACGTTTTTCTTGTATAGCTACTTTCGTTTTAGACGAAAGTTGCCATAACTCATTTGTAATTCGTGTTAAGCTAGAACAAACACACGAAAGGAGTTATGATTAATAGGTAGGCTGATGAAGACGAAAGAAGACATCACAGCAACCGAAAGCAGGATGTGTCATTGAGTAGACAGTTCTTTTCAAGACAATCTCAACAAGAAGAATGTTTTATCTGTCTAAATTGACAACATCCTAGGACAATAAGGACCTCAACTCATGGGACGCTCTTCTCAATAAGCATTCAATGAACCTGTACTATCTCTGTAACTAAAGGACAAAAGACATCAAGTCCTCCATACCTTCAACGGCTACACAGTACAAACTCATTAATGGAGCATTAAATGCATGAGGCTCCATGGTCCTTGTCCAACGGATAAAAGGTTCGAAAATTCCATCTCCCTCCAACGGATGAATTTTCACTACCTATATAAACCAACCTTCATCAACTAAGAAGGTGCTGGTTCATTATCACTCAAAAACTCTATCTTGCAAAAAGCATTTACAAAGCACGTTCTCTTAAAGCTTTTTGCGAACCAGTTACTCAAGGTGTTAAGGCATTTGAAGAAGTTCATTTATTACTGTCCTACACCTTAGAAGAAGTCTTGTAATCAAGGAGCAACCTTTCAACGGTATCAAGACTTTACAGTTGGAGAAATCAAGAAATACTTTCTCACCAACCTCAAATTAGAAGAAGAAGTTGATAGAGGCGGAGTAAACTCTCGGAGTTGAAAAACCTACAAAGACTGTCTGGCTTAGTGATCAAGGAAGTCTTTGTGTAAATTGTACTTAAAGAGTGATAGTGCAATCCTTCCATTGGTTGTGGAAGTAGAGTGGAAGTAGGCATCGTTTGGCCGAACCACTATAAAATCTCGTCTACTCTTCTCTCTTTACTTACCGTCATTTTTCACTGCTTGCATATCTTCTCATCACTCTACCTAATACTTTGTCAAACTCGTGCAACCTCAACCTTACTTTATTTCCGCTGTGCTTATTTTTATCTAAGTATTTTCTGGGTTTTTCTTTCAACAAAGAAACGAAAAACGAGAGTCTATTCACCCCCCCCCCCCCCCCCTCTAGACTCACCACTTATCTTATCGGGACCAACAAGTGGTATCAGAGCAAGTTACCTTGATCGGTAAAGATATCATACGTTTACTGCCTGGTAGATCTATCTTGCATATTTTTCGTTGCACGAAATTTTTTTAAAAAATGGAAAAAGAACATGCACATCATCGTTCTAAACAGCTTGCTTTTAGTCTTGCCAAGTTTGATGATTGGAAGTTAAGAATGCAGGCACTTCTATGCTCCATTCATGACGAGATGTGGGATGTCATAACTACTGGACCTATCACAGTAATGATGGCTAATGCACAAGCTGCTGCTCAGGGTCCAGATGCCCCTCAAATGATACCAAAGCCAAAAGAACAGTATTCAACGGACGAAAGAACAAGAGCAAACTTGGACAACGTGGCAAGGAACATTCTGTATAACTCGCTGGATGATTCACTCTTTCCCAGAGTCAGAAAATGTACCAATGCCATGGAAGTCTGGAAAGTCCTAATGGATCTGGGAGAAGGAGATGAACAAGAAAAGGACAACAAACTGACAATGGCCATGAAGAAATTTGAAGACTTCAAGATGCAGCCAAACGAGACAATCATGGAAATGGAACTCAGATTCACAAGATTAATGGGAGACCTATCAGATCTTGGAAA